TTAAAAGCCTTCACTATCTGCTTCTGCAGAGGAAGTATCCAGGTGCTCTGCACTTAGGTGAAAGGACAACATACAGAAGTCAAATATGCCGCCCAGCCTCCACAACAATCTGAAAACCTCAGAACACCACCTGGGGGGTGTGCGTGTGTGTGTTCGTCTTTCAGGGTTTTTCTGGAGAGGCTGAGGTGCTCACTCAGGGCTTTGTGATGTTGGGGTTGGCAAAGCAAAGCACAGGATTCGGCTGCTATTAACGGCTCTCCACAGCTTTGCCAGAGAAGGTCAGTCACAAGGTCACCCTCACCTGTCCTCTGATGCTTAACGTGATAATAATGCCTGAAGCAATTCCTGTACACCCAGCCCCAGAGAAAACCATTGTAACCCAGGTGCTCACAGGAAGGCATCTTTCCCAAGACACAAAGGCACACAGGTTTGATGTATGAATAAAAAAACCCCAAGCCGGCTGAAGCCAGGCACACACAGCTACTTTAAATACAGAGTGTGTGTGTGTGGTTTTCCTGTATCCTCCTTCGGTTCGTACGCATGCCTCTGGCTGCTCCTAGAGCTATCACCCACTGAAAGATTTTAATGTCACTGTAGGCACCTTCACTGAATATTTAGGCTCAGTTGGCTTCACCAAAGACTTCTTTCAGACCTTGCTTAACAAAAATAGTCCCATACTTGCCTGCTTTTCTCAGTCTGAGTGGTGACAAGCTTCTTGGTGCAGGCTGTCAGTGAACAGGACCAATCTAGCAGATGCTTCTTCCCTGGATATATCATTTCAGGTTGGGGGGAAGGGGAGCAGAGAGGATAATACTGGTGGCATTATCCAAGTGGTGGTGTTATCCGCAGTAGCAAAGGTTAGAACAGCACACAAGAAAATCCAGATTCAGATCTCTAGGGAAGATAACATAAGCATAACCCAAATTTTCCATTGCAGTGCTGCGTGTAATGAATATTTAAAGCAGAATCACTGCAGTGGCAGACAGAAAGTTCCACTTTGAGTGTTTAACCTCTAAAAACTTAAGTCCCGTCTCCCTCCAGCATCCAGAGATGAGCTCAGCTGGTTTCCCTTTTAGCACGATAGCACTGGTTGGGAAGCAGCTGAGCTTTCCCTTTAGTGAAGCAGTAAGAGCCTTGTTTGGCACCTACTGAAAGAGACCCTGGAGTAGAAAGATGAGGGGAAGATGACTGTGAAAGTCATCACAGAGATCGTATCAGCAAAGATGCTGACTTCGGTGAGAAATCTTTTTGCAACCCATCGTTTCTACCACCCCAGGCAGGAAAATGCATCATCTCTGCATATTTCTGCTTTGGCTGCAGCAGATAAGCAAAGGAGCCAGTCATGGGACACAAGAGAAACACTCTCTGTGGGCTAAGCAGGGTGGATCGCAGCAGCTCAGATCCCAGCATATCACCTAACCCCACTCCACAACCTGCTGTGTATCATGCAACAGAGCTACAGTTCCTGTCTCACTCCTGGGGTTTACACCATCCCTGGCAGGAGCATCACAGCTGCAGATAACAAACAAGCAAGGCAACCAGCTTTAATGTCTTCTGCTTGGTTCTCACCCTTCACTCACACTACAACGCCCCAGCTGTGAACTTTTAACCCTGAACTTGTTCCAGACTGTGAGCTTTGACAGCACACAAGTCATAGGCAGTAAATCCACTTTTCAGACAATGGTGTCTATTGAGCTGTTCCCCTCAGTGCTTCCCTGCAGTTTGTTTTATGTCCACCTGCTGCTTTTCTACCTACTAAAATGTGTCTATCGGTAGTAGTAGTTACTAACCTGCAAGGAGAGAAAGAAGAAGCAGCTTAAAAAGAGGGAGACCATGCGATGTTGTGAAAAGACCCAAGGATGCCTCCGTATGCCTCATCAGCCTATTGTGGAGAAATACTGGGTTTGTCAGCATTTCCTGAGAGCTGAAATAAATCTATCCCTCTGAGAGCTGAAGCAAAAGTAAGTAACAGACAAGTAAAATGTTTGAGTGAAGGCTCCAGACTGTCTTCTGCTGTTTCTGCCTCCTGATTATTCACTGGAGCAAGGGACACTGCTGCCATGAGCTGGGGCAGAGCTCTTTTGTGCAACTGGTGTGCATGGGACAGTGGGATCTTCTTATCTGATGCTTTAGGTGCTCCAGGGAACAGCAGCCAGGGCAGGTCCCACTCACTGGTTGGAGCCCTGGCTCTCGGGGGGGATGTTAGGCTGGGATGGCAGCTCGCGAGTGCTAACACAGGCTGCCCCAGTGGCCTGGCTCTCTTTAACACAGTGCAGGAGGCAGCTGTAGGACACTTCTGTCATCCTTTAAAAATAAACCCCAGCATCACTTGTGCAGGCCTAAACTCTGCTGTTGCAAACCTGGCATACAGTGAAATCAGCTCCTTTTAAATTAAATTTGCTGATATAACAAATAGTGTGATGCTGTGTAGATATACAGTAAGAAAAACCCCAAATGACACTTCTTTTTTTAACAGTAAACCTCGCTATCTTTTACCATATCACCCCCAAATTGGCACCAGAGGCTCCTAGAGGTAAGCACAAAGATGTCTTGCAAGGGATTAACATGAAATGAAAGCATGGCCAGCCCCCCTCCCTCACAACATCCCTTCCTCTTCCATACACACCCAGAACTCATCCATTTGTCTGCTGAAGCTTTAATCATCACAGGTTAAAAAAAGACGAAAACTGGTTGAGCCAGCAGTAAAGCTTTGTTAATTCATGCCAGGCAGCAGCAGTGGTAACAGCTCGGTGCTCAGCCTTGCTGACTGCTCTTAGAATAAACCAAAGCCATCGCTCCAGCAAGGAGGTTGCCCCAGATCCCTGCCATAAAAGGAGTAGACTGCTCTTAAAATCTAACTGATGCAGATGACAAATTTAAGAGTGACTAAATAAGAAACAGCTCACTTGGCTGGTTTCCTCTGCTTGCCCTTACTGCTACTGAAAAAAATCCCTCTTAACAACCCAGGGAAAATAAAAACCAGCTGAATATCTTTACTTAGATGGCCAGTTTTTGCGTTCCCATTTGAGATGGTCTATTTCGCTCTTGGCCCTGCTCTTGGCATCAAACTGGCCCTGAGGTACCAAAATGGGGATGAGGGACAAGTGTGGGTTTAGGGCTGCTAAACCTTCAGCTGGAAAACCACACTCAGCACACCTCACTAAATAGCAGACTTATTCAAGCAGGGAAAATTTCAAAAGTGACTTCCATAAGCTAGTGCCCAACTCGTGGCCATTGATGTACATGAATGTAGTCTTAGTGTAGTTGAAATGGAATCAGATGAAATGGAATCATCAGAGCCAAGATTCAGCTAACACATCTGCTTTAGAACCCAGGTTTGTAATACAGCAGCAGCCCCCAGTGTGTGTGTAGGTACAACGTCTCACAGTCTCTTTTCCACAGGGAAGAGATGGAAGGACAATAACATTTTGAACTTTCAAGTAAGTTCTTGCCTCTCCCCCACAAATCATCCCCCTTTGGGGACATTTGATGTGATCAGGAGTGGATGTTCTTAAATCTAAGGGTATCTTAGATTTACAGTCGAGACGTATATTAAGTATTTCCCAGCTCCTTTGAAGAAGGGAAGCAAAGTTAACTCACTTCCACCTTCTCTGTCTTTTGTTTCACACGTGTCCAAACATAGGAGTTTGGCAGAGTCTGCTATGCATGAGTTGAAAGTTTAAGATTTATTAGAAAAACACCTGATCTTTGATAGCAGTGCATATTTTACACATCCAGTTAAAATGCTTTTTACCACCTTCATTCAAATTCACCATTTGTTGATAACTTCTTCATGCAATCTTTACACTTAACATACTTGTACACGCAGACTGAGCACCCATAATGGAAGGGTATCTTACTGAGATGCAGTTGAGAAAATATTACTTCTTGGTACTAGACAGTCACAGAAGCAACACTGCGCCTTTAAAGCTTCAGCAGATGTCCAGAGTTCCCTCTTTCGCCACTGGGGATTTGCCAGGGCCAGAAATCCAACAGTCGTCAACTCAGTAGGCTGCAAACCAAGGCTCAAAATCATGTATAGTTTCTCTGGCATCCGCCTCTCTTCTCAGTGATGCACTGTTACTCCTTCCACTGCCACACATGCAGATTCAAGAACTCTAACCAGATCACTTGTTTTCGGTGGCTGAAGGGCCGGGTCAGTTCATGGAGAAATCCCTGAGATTACACATAGCATTGAGCTCCTTTTGAATAAGGAGGAAAACTGACACAGTAGGATAAGTTTTCAATTTCTTGGACTACAAAGCTCTCACAGTGTTTATATCTCCACATTAATGTACAAAATAATGTTGTAAACGCCAGTATCTATTGTGCTATGCTGTGAAGGGGTTTAAAACAGAAGAGTTCAAATTAAAAGCATCTGTAGTAGGTAGATCCTCCTTTTCTTGCGGGATTGAGGAGGGCACTGGAGTAAAAAGCCCTCATTAACCTTACTCGGTCCCTTTCAAAAGTATAAAATGACATCAGCAATCTGGAGGATCTAATCAGAGGAGGAATGGGCACGAGATAGGAAACTAACAGTAGTGTTTTGTCTTCTATGTCTTCTATGTATGTCTTCTAACAAGGGATTGTAGAACTGATAACCGATGGTACCACTATGAACCACTCAAACCTGGCAGCACTTGTCTCACTTGGCGGATGGTTAATCACAGTCCAGTGGTTCTTGATTGCATGTTTTGGTATTTTAATCCAGTTTACACTTTAACATCCATCCATAGGAGAGTGGCAAGCATCTCTACTAGAGAAAGGTACCTAAAATCACTACTTTTGGGTCTCAGTACTCCAGGGGAGTTGAAGGGGCCTTCATAGCCATAGGAAAAACACTTCTACAATACTGACTTCCTGAAAGCACGCATGCACCCATAAGCCATGCAACACTCCAACCTTGCATGGAAAAAAAATACATAACCACTAATCATTCTGGCATTGGATTGTGGTAAGATCCTGAGTGTTTCTTAATTGAAGAATGAATGCAGTCATGATTACTCTACTTCTTCCTGATCCAGTGAAGCCAAAGCCTTCTCCTGTAATATAGAAAGAAAACTTGCAATTATAAAAGAAATGAAGACCCTTATCCTAACTTCAACTCTGCTGGGATCAGCCAGCAGATTTGCCAGTAGGATTTCCTGACCTCACATGCAACCTATTCTAGTGGACACAGTCTGTACAGCTGCTGAATGTTTCTATCCATTTCATGCAGCTTAAAGGGACTAGGATCTTCGATGCAAGTGCATCCCCACCAAATCCAAGTGGAAATCCATGGAAGACAGCAGTTCAGCACCACTGCTGGTGGAAGTGTATCTTGCACAGCTGATTTTGAAAGACGGATATGAAAATAAACAGATGTTTTTGTATACAGGGAAGGTGGAAGCCTACCACACCATAAGGGCAGGCTGTATGAATTACTGAACTGCTATGCTGTCCCAGGAACCTGCCAACAGCACGCTTCTAGGGACAGTATAGGATTAAGGACAAGTGTGAAGTTTCCTGGTGTTTCTCCCAGCCTTCAGCTATTTGTGGTTGAGGGACTGTGTGCCAGGAATGGCGTTTTATACTTAACAACATTCCATGAATGTCTCCTATTGATTTTTGGACCTATGTAAATAAAAAACTTGCAGCATAGAAGATATCCTGTAGCAAGTAATTGCACAGCTGGAACACATGCTGCGTTAAAGAATATGCAGTTTGGTTTGGTCTGCATCTGACCCATGTTTTGTGAAAAGTGTGCTGCTTCGAAGTGCCCTGGGTTATGCATGAGTCAAAGGAGGAAAACCACATACCCAACCACCCTGGTCCTGAATCCATGGCTTGAAGTGTTCTCTGAGGTACTTTACACCAAAGCCCAAGACCAGGTTCATAGGATGGTTGTCCACAGCAGTAAGTCTTGTGACAACTTCCATTGTAAAGGCAACTTTTTTGCACTGTACTTGGCCTTCTGGCTCACTTGTTGAATCTGCTGAGACACCCTCCAGGAATAAGTCAGTGATCCTTTCGAAGAAAGTGTAGGACAGCATATCTTTAAAATGCTGATATAAACCACTGTCCTTTTTGACCTGAAAATAAGGATAAACGTGAATTAAATTGAACCACTTTTGTTTGTATTGCTTTCCCCATCTCATTGGGAAAGGAGAGCACCTTTAGGTAGCGCATGCAATATAGTCTAATCATGGTGATGAATGCAAGAGATGACAACCAAACCCCACACCTCACTGCAAACCTGCTCCTTGAGGCTCTGGAGGTGGCTCTATGTTTTATCCTTGAAAAAAAATCTTCGGGGCTTTTTTGCATTTGAATGAGAGAAGGAGAGAGAGAGAAAGCCAAACAAGTGTGGCACTAATATTGAGACCTGCAGGTGAGAAGACAAGGGAATACAAGAGCATTGGGAAGATGACAGTAAAGGCAAGTTACGAGAAGCAACAGCTGCCATGCTGAGCTCCTTTTGCTCCATCGTGGTCTTTGTGATGCTTCTTACTGTATCTGGGTGCCCCTCTTCTGCAGGAGCTGAGCACATCCTCCATGTTGGAGTATACTTTTATAAAGCAGAAGGGGCAGCTAAAGAAGGGAGTAAAAGGAACAAGTACCTACATTTTTAATAAAGAAAATACCCACTCTCACTAATGGACTCATGCAGGGTCTCTTCTATAGCTTTTGGGAGGGCTTTCAAAATGTACTCCCTACAGCAACTTTCAAAGCTGTAGAGTTTCTCTCTCTTCACGGGGAACAACTTGAATGCCCAATTTAGTGTAAACAGAAGAGTTCCTCAGAGTCAGTTGAGTGCTCAGCATCTCATGAAACTCAATAGGAATGAAGCAAGTGACTCCTCTTTGAAATACATGAGATTTCTGTTGCCTTCTTCCCACACAGCAACAGAAATCACTGCTAGTCTTAAGAAAGATTTCAGGATGAATGGTGAAGGTTTCAGAAAGCCCCAAATGTGGGAAGAGAAGTTCAGCATAGAGACAGAAAGCACTAGGTTACAAAACATTCACTCCCAAGAGAAGTGTAATCTCACACTCCAGCATGTGTAGCTCCTGAAAAAAGGAGGAGTTACCTTTTCTTCTAGTTGGTCCCCTGATTGTTTTAACAGTGAAACTATTGTTTGTATTATCTGTTCTTCATCTGTTAGAGAAAAGAGTAACATAAATATCACAGCCTTCTAGTATGATCCAGATAGCAAACTATGGCAAAAGCCTTTGTGTCACTTAGTCATGAAAACAGCTCCTACTTTGTGGAAAATCCACAGAGTTGTGTATCCAGGCTTTAAGCTGAAACTCACTGTTCTAGTCTGTGTGGAGTAAGCAATGCTATTTCTCCATCTGCCTGATGTTTTGCTCCAGTTAAGAATATGGGAAAAAGCAAGGGCTTTAATATCCCACTGGCAGCCCTTTGGGCTTTGAGGTATGTCTGAAAACAAGGTAGAACAAAAGAGTAGCTACCAGAAATCCACAAGAATTAACTTAAAATTAGGGAAAATAAATCCCTTCATTATTCCAATTACACCTTCTGCAACTCATTAGGACAAACTCTAGGTTTGCCAGATTAAAGAAAATGCAAGTATGGCAGGATCCCTCTTGTAACCAGAAATCCCTAGGAAGCTTGCATTAAAATTAAATCTCTGCAGACATCATGGAAGACAAGCAGTGCAGACTTTTAACAGAGATTGTAGAGCAGTGTTTTCCTGTCACCAAAGAGGAATTGACCAAGACGTTATTACCCCAAAGGCTGGTCTTTGGCCTTAGAGCCCCAAGATATTACTCTGTCCCCATCCCTGCCACTCCTGCCACTGCTCTGTCACCTTAGATCACTGCTGTCATCCTCTTCTTCTCATTTTTAAGAATGCTCCCTTTAGTTGCAAGAGCAGAAATGTGGGCCACAGAGCAAGAACCAGCAGAGCAAACTTCCTTCTTCACAGCATCTTGCCACAGACATCCCCAGTGCTTCACCATGCCTAGAAAAATGCCCCAGTGTGCAGTCCCAACCTGATATACTATGTGTTAGCTTGAAATTCTTCACCCTTACCACATTTCTCGCCCTCACTTCCATCAGTAAGATCACTTATCTTGGATGACACATCTGAAGGAGGTTCCTGGGATCTGGAAGTAACAAGCTTGGCAAGTTTGTCTGCAATGTGGTTGACATCTGCTGTTTCACCTGATTGGGAAGGAGTGTGGGAAATAGAGAATGCAATTAATCTTTCCAGGAAGTAATTCAGTGATTTACTTGTTTACATGCCCTCTCACGTGGAAGTGCCCAGAGGACACCAAGAGATAAATTTCCTCATGCTGGGGCTTTGCTATTGCCTGAGTCGAGCTGGTAATAATTTCAAGATATGCAGTACAACCCCTCTCTAGTACCTGAGCAGCAGCTAGCTATACAGAGGCCTTACAGAAGCAACTGTGTGTTGCTCACTAGCACACATCCTTGCAAGCCAGGAGCACACTATGTATTAAGAAATGTGAGAGTACTGCTCTACAGGACTGTGAATCTTAGACCTTAGTTGTATTTGCCATGATTAGCTCATCTATAGGTCCAGTTTCAGAAAAGACACTGTATTTCAAAGCTCTTTCCTTGTTCTCACAGGCTAACCCTGAGCAAAAGAGAAACTGACTTCACTTCAGAGGCACCTCTAGCACAAAAGCTTTTTGTGTCCTTGACGCTGTTGTATTAAGCAGACATGAATACCGGGAGAAGTCAGCAACCAGACTGGCTTTATCCACCTTGTGTAGTGATCCTCACTCCAGGTTCAGAACCCTCACCAGCTGAAGGCATTACTCAGTGAGAGCACTCCAGCGCTACAGCAAAGAGAGCAGGAGGAGCTGTTGCAAGGTTTTTTTCACCTAAAAGGTGCTCTTCCTTACAGCCCACCTCACAGGGATGCAGAACTCAATCTCTCCACCACCACTGCCAAATAGCAGCTCCTGCATGACCAGAAGACATTGAGACAAGTTCAGCAGTGGCCTGACCCATAACACATATAAAATTAATGAGCAGAATTTATTGTGAGGGCAGCAGGGATTAATGCAGCCAATAAAAACTGCATTTCAAGGCTGGTGAATCAACACCAAGGCATTTCCACCCCCTTGTCTGCCTGCAGAGCTTGTCCAGGAACTGCTAGACTTCTAGGAAGGGGATTGGGCTGCTCATGACTTTGGAAACCTAAGATCAAGCAACTGCTTTTAAATTGAACAGGTCTTCAATTTAGACAGGTAGTCCCCAAAACACCCCTATTTACTCCAGTATGGCCTGGTCAAGCTTGCAGTGCAGTTGCTAGCAGTGTAAGTGATAAATAGTAACATTATGTTTTAGGAATTGGTCCAGCAACCTATTGAAGGGCAGGTAAAGTCCAGATTTTAAGCGAAGCAGGATCCCCAGGGAAGTTAACACCCAGCACGGGGAGGGTTTACCTCAAGGCCATGCTGCCACCCATGCTGCTGGGAACACAGTGATGTATTGGCAGGGCCACCAAGTGGTTGCACCCAAACTCTCAAGTGCTTTTCTTGGCAATGTGGAAATAAAATGGACATAGAACCAGGTATCTGGATGTAGACATATGTCCAAACCAAACAATGCAAAGTTACGGTTATTTCACCCTAGCGAAAGGCACTGGGCTGAGGAAGGGACCCTTTTTTGAGAGACAGGGATGGATTTGGTAACAGGGAGAGTTAAAGGTTTGGTGGCCCAGGACAGTTAAAATGGTCAGGGATGGTGCATTAGGCTGGAGAAGTCAGTGATGGAGGATTTTTAGAACTGTATTTAAATGCAGTGAAAAGGGAGAGCAATCACTGTGACACCAACAATATCAAGATGAGACAAATTAAACAAACTATCCCCTACCTTATGTATATAAAAACAATATGGCAACCTATCATATACTGTATATGGCAACTTAATGGGGATACCTCATCCTCCTCTCTCAGTCTTGTATGACAAGTTAAGGTATAAATTATTATCCAGAGGACAAAAGTTAAAATCCCATCGCCTGTAGTGCAGCACCCAATGTGGGGCAGACTTTGGGGGCTGGAGTACAAGATGTTTACGTGGATGGGATCCCTGGATATTGAATGGATTACAGTCTCCTACCACCTCTTCCAATACGTGGCAGGGCAGGTTCAGAAAATGTAACAGCAAAGTGTAAAGGAGACTTAGTTAACTCCAAAGACTGTTTCCATTTAAGATGCATGGTGGGGTTATGAGAGGAGGCATGGGCTGATCTGTCCTTGGGACTGGTCACTGCCAATTACTTGGCACCAGTTTCAAGCAGAATCAAGGACTTCTGTCTTCAATGTGGAACATATACTACATGATAAAGCTCCTTAAGCATGCCTTCAAACAACTTTTCTCCCTTGATTTTAATGTGAAGGCCTTCACTCTGACCAGTGTTTTATCTTCTCTTTCTTAGCAGGTATGGAAAGAAAAAGCCAATGCCTGGGGAGGGGCGGTGTGTGTGGAAACCCCAACCTGTGCAATTTATATGATAGTTACCACTGTACAATGGAAAACAGAAAAGCCATTCACAACATGAATATTGTGTTTTTAGGCACTACTGAAGACCTGGCAATCTGCCTTCCTAATTGGAAATCAATAGAGCTAGCATAAGAGGTATCACCAGCCATTTAAGCTATTGAGAGAGAGATTTAAAGACAAACAGCACAAGGAAAGAACTAAGACATACTTGTCTGATGTTGGGATTCCCCTTGTCGAAGGTTCTTGGATTGATTCTCAAAATCGGAGAAATGTGCCCTGTGACCTCCCTGCAGTGACGCCGTTGGGGGCTCTGCTCCGCTGCAGGGAAAAGGTAGATGACGTCCTCGCAAATATTTTGTTTCCTTTTGAGTGTTGCCTTGTGATTGTATTACAAGACCCTGACAAAATACTCTTAGGCTTGAACCATCTATATCCCTTGGATGGTCAATCTTTAGTTGTCTCCTGACTAAGGATGATGATTTCTGCACTTTTCTTCTGAAAAAAGTGTCTTCATTTTTCAGAAGTTTCCCATATTTACTGGCAGACAACCGCCGCTGGGCATAGGCCAGTAGGATCTTGTATTCTATGCAGTCTCGCTCATCATCTTCCAGCCGTATTTCTTCCATACTGACAACATTTGGCGAAGACATCTTGGTTCCTGCAAGAACATATTCTTGGTTTTAATGGCTCAGGGAACAGCCTGTTTTTCATGAATCCAGCCAGTACTTGACATTTCTACAGAACCTTCCACCTTATAAACCTCAGTGAACATTGCACTACCTCTGAGCCAAAGAAGCATTCTTCTCTAGAAAGAGAATTTGATTACTGAGAAATACCTCAGGTAGTAATCAAGGCCATCAAAGAATGGGAACAAGAGATTTGGTATATTACATATCTAACTGTATTTCATTGCTTAAACAGGAAAGATGAGGAAATTCTAGGAGCATTCAGTGGCTGGAGTGCAGTACATGAAAATAGGAAAACCTGTAACAATACAAGGTGCAAAGGAAAGGCCTATATATACCATGTCTCAAATGAGCAAGCATCTAAATACGTGAGAATTGTGCTTTCAGAGGAAGCTTTGACACATTTTAGCCCTGAGTGCTCCACGTAGGAAAGCAATCAACAACTAGCCCAAATATTAGGAAAAATTATGCTTTTTACCTACCATAATGTTTTCAACTGTCCTTTCCCTTTAGGGAACCTAAGTCAATTGTGTTGTGCATGTGACTGTGTGTAGTGGATGGTGTGGTGGCACTTACCTAGGGTGCCACCTAGATATCTAGGGTATATCCTAGGCTACCTAGGGTAACTTGTTCTTGTCCAAACAAACACACCAATGCCACAGCACGTACATGCATTTTGTCATCTTCCTGTTTCCCTGCATGCTGTAGCCCATCAAGCCACAGTGCTCAAGTTAAGCTATTGTCATACCACCATCCCAAGCCTCCAACAGCCTGTCTCAAACACATGGCAACAGCCTCTCTGAAATTTTCTTCCCAGTGCAAGCCTGCGTATCAGCTTGCTCAGTTTTCTGCTAGCAGTATCCTGCAATTTACTGCTTAGATACCTATACTTACTGTTGTATGGCAAAACATCTCACTATGCTTGGACAAAAATTTGTTCAAGTGACATCCAAGGTACAAGAAACTATGTTGTCTTCAAACAGCCTCCTGGGCTTTTACAGAAGCCCTGTCCTGTGAAGGGCTCAGAACTGCACTGCGACCTCTTGCTCACAAGGTGGGTCCCTGTTTGCTGAACATGGCCAGGGCAGTTTGGTGGCTGGGGGCTTGAGTGCAAGTTCCCCATCTCTTGCTAGTTGCAACCTTGAGATATTCAAAAGGTCATCAGGAGCTTTGTGTCTTCTCACAGCGCTCGTGCAGGCAGCTTTAATGAACCTGCAAACGAAACTGAAAGCCCAGCAGGAAAAAGTGAGCAAGAGACTGTTACAAGAAACAAACCAAGAAAAAGAAGTGGGAGCTAGAAATACAGAGAAAACAAAGGAGAACTGATATGATGTAAGACAGGCATGGGGCTGCTGTTTCTTCCTTGCTGTGCCTAGGAAGGGAGTGCTGATGCACACAATACCCTCAGGATGCAGGAGACCAAAGGTAAGACCTTTTCCTTGCCCCATGATTGTTTAAGGCCATCTTCCAGTGCAAACCAGGGCAGCTTAAAGGGCGTTTAAAGCTGAACTGCATTTCTCAGTGTCTCAGCTACACAGAAAGCAAGGCTACAGAAAATTCCTTCAGCTAGTCAATAAGCCCAGGAACAGGCACTTCCCTTTGCCCCAGAAACCAGACCAGGCATTTATTTCAGTTTGAAGTTTGTCCAGAAATAGAGGGAAAATTTTAAAGGTTATGCCATTCTTTTCCATTATTTAATACTTTATTCAAACTCAAGTTTCTCCTTGAAAAGATCTAAGCTTGCCCTTCAGATCGGATACCAATGCTACTTAAAATAGCATAGCCTTCCCCAAAATGGGTCTTCTTTATAGATCTAAAATAATTTGTGTAACATTCATGTATATTAGTTTTTCACTGATTTAAAAATATATAAGAATATATGATAGATAAGTTATATATACCATAACTATATATAAAAATTATAAAGCAATTATATAAAATAATATAAAAATTCATTCCCAAACAAGAGAACTTACAGTAGTACCATTAAAACCCCCTTACAGCCCTGTACACTGGGCTATTACTTGTACGTTAAGAACAGTCCTACCCAAGGTAGCTGTACAGATAGAAATCAAATAAGGGTTCAAAGGTTGGTCTCCTAAACGAGGCTAAGTGCAGACCGATAGCAGGAGGTAGGGTATTATTACAGCTTGCTAGTATGTAACATCAAATAAGCACTTGCACTTCAGATGCAGCTGTTCAGCGAGGCCTGCACCTCTCTCTGCTGGGGAACCTCTGAGAAATGAAACAAATTATGTTGGTAAAAATGTGGAATAGGAGCTTCCTTACTCAGACCTTTTTGAGCACTGATGTCTCGGTAAGGAGTCTCACCCCTGTGTATACAACAAGGCTGGAGGAGCATAAAAAGAGAACAAAGAGTCACAGTTTATAGCTCATTTATACCATTACTTACAGACAGCAAGAAAAGGAGGTATCACCACATGCTGGTGAGCATTTATAAAGGAAACTTCCAGTAGCTAACTTGTTTTTCAGTTAATTTTAAAGTTTGAAATCTTAGTTGGTGACTTACGTCTCTCTTTAGACTTAATTCTTCATACTATAACCATGTTATTTTTCCAGTATACTGTCTGGTATGGGCCAGAGATGAGCCAGGACTTTTGCAGAAGCAGCACTTGCTCTGCACAAACTCTCTCAGGAATGAGTCTCTGTAAAGACGTTTTTTCAATGCAAGCATTGATTCAGTTTGACAGTACTTGGAAGTCCTGCTAAAACCCAAATCTGCATATTATTTCCTAGGATGATTAAAAGAAACTTGGAGGATCAGATTAGGGAGAGTAGCAGCACGTTCTCATTCTGTCTACTTAAAAACTCTGGTCTAAATTATTTATCTTCTGGAGCTTGTAGGCTCTGAGGAAGCATTATTACACCCTTCTTCTTTAGTCTCCTTCAGGCCTTTTCCTCCCATTCCCAAATATCACATCCATATGCCATTTCCCAGGAAATGGAAACTGAACTGCCAGTGTTCATAGTGGTACATTTAGCTATAACCCTCCATTCACTTCAAGAATTATCTGCCAGGGCAGAGAAATTTGGCAAAAACACAGATGGACTTCTGTGAGCAGCATGACCAACAAAACCTGTTTTCCTGTGGACTGAGAGCCAATACTGACTAAACTTGCATAAGTCCACAAAAATACTCCCCCACTGTAATAGTAGCCTGGGCCAATTGCAAAGATAGTCAACTAAAAGCTTGAGAAGTGTATTTATATGAGACTAAGTGGTCAGGATACAGAAAGAAAACCATAAAAAAGAGCTAAACTAGCAATATGACTGACTAATCTTTGTTACTGTGAAGCATAGCCTGGAGGTTCATCTATAGATGGAAAAACAGTTGCTTTGGAGGGCATCCAGCTATAGGCCTGTTTTTGGCAAAACTGGACCAAGTGGTGACCTGGCTATGCCATTTCTTGACAGTTGTTGTATTGGTGTTATTTATTAACGTATAGTTGCATGTATAGATGCAAACCACCATTGTGGCTAACTCTACAAGTCCTCTTGGACCATGGTCACCACAGACTCTGCCTGAGCCCAAGCTTGGGTGCTGCACACAGACCATCCTCTCCTTCTAACCCTGCTGTCACGCCTCCTGTCCTTCCTTCTCAGGTGACCACAGAGCACAGACAAGCTCTACCGCTATTCCTTCCACAGGAAGGTTCATCCTGCTGCCTCATGGACAGCCCTAGGATCTGTCTCCAAAACGCTTAGGGACCTTGTCCAGGCAGAGGCAGTGTCAATGTTGACCCTGCTGTTTGGCTCCATTCCCCATCATGCGTACTCTCACCAGTGCTAGCAAACCCCAGGGAAGCACAAGTAGCTGAAGATGGCTCTGCAGCAAGAGGCAGTGCCTGCCCTGAAAGGCCGAATAGATGAAGCAGAGAAGTGAAAGAGGTGCCTGGGAAATGATCATAGAATCATCATAAAATCATAGAATGACTTAAGTTGGAATAGATCTTCAAGATCATTGAGTCCAACCATTAACGCAGCACTGCCAAGTCTCCCACTAAGCCATGTCCCTAAGCACCACATCTATATGTCTTTTAATTACCACCAGGGATGGTGGCTCAGCCACTTCTCTGGGCAGCTTATTCCAGTGCTTGATAACCCTTTAGGTGAAGAAATTTTTCCTAATATCCAATATAAACCTCCCTTGGTGACACTTGAGGCCATTTCTTCTCATCCTAACTAGCAATCCTTGGTTTGCTAGTCCAAGCTATTCAGGTCTGGTTTGGTGCTTCTGCCTCAACCAGCAGAGACAGAAATGTAGTTTCTTGCCTAGGACGTAAGTTCTAAATAAAACTCTTTATTTTTGCGGCGTTGCTGGAGAAAGGCACTAATAAAAGCACCACTGTTTACCTTACTGACTCATCCCAGGTGCGGGTCTTTTCCTTCAGCTCTGCTCTCACATACAGAGGAGTAGACTGAGAGCGGACATTCCCATGCAAACGGAGGCAAAGACCAATTCCTCTCCCAGCTCTTCAAGCTAGATACTTTCCTCTGGGTTCATGACCCTAACTTACTGATAGTTCTTGTGGAGAAAAATAGAACAATCACAAGTCTCCAGAGTTCATTAGTACATAAGCAACACACTTTGCTGAAGAAATACCCTGTACATATTGTGTCAGTCGTTCTCACAAAACCCTTATTGAACAGGTATTGTCTGTGCAAGAGAGGCTGAGCGGTTTTAAACTGTACAGATGCTGTGGAAAGCTGGTTTTACACACAAGCCCACCAGAAAGGACCTCTCCACATGGTGCCACAGTACAGTTGCCTCTAGGATGGACAACAGTAACTTGCAAACTGAAGGATTATGTGACCTTTATTTAATCTTAACAAAACAGGACATAAAATAATTAGTGAAGGCAGAGCTGCACTTTGAGGCCAAGGAAAACATCCCTAGTGGCAACAGATTTTTCATGAGCCCTGTTGTGCAACAGGTAGGACAC